GGAAAATATTTTCCCGGAGCAAATCGACGGAATCTGGGAGAGAGACACCGTAAGAATTTGATCTTAGGTATGGTTGATTTTGTTATCCGAAATCTTTTTCGTGTTATCTCTTTGGTGTGTATCTAGAATCGCATCGAAGCTGTTAATATCAGTAGAATCTGATACTACCACATGATCTGAGCTCGATAAAGTGCTAATCGTTAACTTTCTGATGAGATTTTAGGGAAGAGGATACGATGGGGAAGAGAGGAAGGTCTTGTATTGTGGTACTTGGAGATCTTGGTCGAAGTCCTCGGATGCAATATCATGCTCTTTCTCTTGCTCGTCAGGTTTAGTCTCAATTTTTTTTTTCCGATGTTGCATTTGATCAAAGTTGAATTGATCAGTTTTTTCTGTCGGCTTGAATTATGTTTAGAAATCCTTCAGTTTATTAAAAAAAAAAGTGATCAGAAGATTGCTGCTTAAAACTGCAGGCATCATTTCAAGTGGACATTGTTGCATATGGAGGTAAGGATTCCTAATTTTAGTGTTTTTCAGTGTTCTTGTGTATCATAATTGCATTGTTTTAATGTTTTTGAATTCATGAATAGGTTCTATACCCCATGAAGCTGTTTTAAACCACCCATCAATCCACATCCATACCATGGTATATACCATATGATCAAATCGTCGACATAAACTATTAGAAGATATGTAATTTCATGCTCATAAGTTTCCTTCTTCTTTTATGAGTAAACAGGCACAGCCTCGATTCATTCAACTCTTGCCAAAGATACTTTATCCTGTGACTCTCTTGCTCAAGGCATTTATTCAGTTTACCATGCTTCTATGGTTTCTTTTCGTCAAAGTACCAGCACCTGATATCTTCTTAGTCCAGGTAAAATGTTTTTTGTTTTCACTTTGAAATTTTTAATATTCGTTGCTTTTTTTTCCTTGCGAAATTTGCAGAAGTTACACTTAGTTGTTTCTGCAGAATCCTCCATCCGTCCCAACGCTAATTGCTGTTAAGTGGGCAAGTTCATGGAGGCGTGCAGCGTTTGTTGTAGATTGGCATAATTTTGGATATACATTGTTGGCATTGTCTTTAGGAAGAAACAATGTGTTTGTAACGTTATACTGCTGGTATGTATACAACCAATTACTGGATAATTGCGTAAACTATCTATGGAACCTTTTTTTTAATTTTAAGGGTGAAATAATAATCTTTGCATGGTTTAGGTTTGAGAAGCATTATGGAAAGATGGCAACAGGATCGCTATGTGTGACAAAAGCCATGCAACATGAACTGGATCAGAATTGGGGAGTGAGGTAAGATAACCTTTAACATTTTGATTCCGGGGTAAAAAAAGATATGTGATTGCAATTTTGTATGCAAATAATGTTCTGAATTGATAAACAGAGCCAAAGTTTTGTATGATCAGCCTCCTGAGTTTTTCCGCCCCGCTTTGCTTGAAGAAAGGCACGAGGTTAGCTGGTCTTTTCTTTAGATTAGTTTTACCAATCACTTTCCCTCTGGGTAGAATGTGGCATTCAGTGTAATGAAAACTTTGGTTGCTTCTGTAGTTGTTTTGCCGAGTGAAGAAAGATCTTTGCCATCCAGTTGGTGTCTACGATATCATCAGTGGAGGTATCTCCTTTAAATTAAAAAATCATGTTCTGATTCCTTTTGAGTTTATCGTTTTGTTCCGATGCCAATTATTTTCATTCTAATGTAGAATTGGAGAAGCAAGAGCTGAATGAAACCCTTTTTACCACTAAAATCAATGACAGTATTTCCCTTAAGGTGAATAGACCAGCTCTTGTTGTGAGTAGTACAAGCTGGTGAGGACAAATCATCATTCTTTTGTTCACTTTCACTCTTGTGGTATCATCCTTCTGTGACATTGAATATTAGAACATGACTTTTTTCAGGACCTCTGATGAAGATTTTGGTATTCTATTGGAAGCTGCGGTGATGTATGACCGGCGTGTTGATGCAAGATCGAAAGGAAATGATGTAGGCGAAATTTCAGAAGAGCAACACCGCTACCCCAACTTGGTATTCATCATTACAGGTAAACATGGTTCGCGTTTTTTAGAACATTAGAAATTTCGCTATTTCTATTTTTCATAATCTATACTGTACGTGAAGGTAAAGGACCTGAAAAGGAGAAGTACGAGGAGAAAATCAAACGGTTAAACCTCAAACATGTGGCATTCCGAACAATGTGGCTCGCAGCTGAAGATTACCCATTGTTATTAGGTTCTGCAGATCTCGGTGTTTGCTTACACACTTCCTCATCGGGTTTAGACCTTCCCATGAAGGTAATTCCTTATAATTGGGGCTCATATGTGCTAATAAGGTCAAGTCTCCATCTTATCAACTTGTTACCGATGCTTGGCGATTTAGGTTGTTGATATGTTTGGATGTGGCCTCCCAGTTTGCTCAGTTTCCTACTCATGGTAAATAATCAGCGACTTTCAATACTTTCACAAACAAAGACTAGAACTTTTAATCCTTAAAACTTTCATGAAGCATTCACGAACTCGTTAAAGATGGGAAGAATGGACTCTTGTTTTCATCTTCATCGGAATTAGCAGATCAATTACTGGCAAGTAACTTCTTGTCTTTCTTTTGAAGACTTTTTTTTTACCTTACCGCTAATGTTCTTGTTTTCTGTTCTTCTGAACAGATTCTCTTTAAGGGATTTCCCGCGAACTGCGATGCACTTATGTTGCTTAAAGCGGGTGCAATGGATACTGGTTCTTCGGGTCGATGGGCTACAGAATGGGAAGATTGTGCAAAACCTTTGATTACTCAGGCAAAATC